TTAGGATTGTAGTAAGGTTTACCATAAAACTTAAAACTCAGTGTTTATCTAAGATTAACATTTAGCAAACATTCATCAAATATTTGGCGAGGGCCTTCTGTGAGCTGAGCACTTGTAATTGGTTACAGCGTTGGATTCTGAAATGAATTTGCTTCCCTTTTTTTTTGTTCGTTTCTTGCCACAATCCCAACCATGTGAGGTCCTAGCTTAAATGTGCAAGAGGCTCATGTGATGGGTTATCAGCACTTCCCGAGGCATGCGGGAAGGTCTCACTTACCGTTTTGGTTTCCTCTGGCTCCACTGCCCACCAGTTCCCTTGCTGAAAGCTCCCAGCAAAAACCTACACACAGCAGTTAAAATCATACGTACTCACTTTTATGGAAATGGCAATGCTACAATCTGGTTTAATGGAGGCATGGTATAAAAGTAGATTCCTAGCAGAATTCCAGCTGACTGAAAAACATGCACAGAGGAAGGTATGTTCCAAATCTTCTGCAATCGGAACGGATTCCTGTTAACATCGGCAAACAGTGGCTGGCTTTTCTTGTGCACCTTGTTGGAGGCAGTGCGCTGTGACCCTTAGGGTCCCGTGGGCTGGTTCTGGGATCTGAAGAGCCATCTTTCCTGGCTCAGAGTCCTCCAAAAGGCTAGGAAGCCTCTCTGGGCCTCGGGCTCCTCACCAGGCCGTTGGGGCTGTTGATGCCCACCTTGGCCGGTGGTAAACGGAGATAGAAAGTATGTTGCAGGGAAGGTGGCACGTGGTCTCTGCAGTGTCACTGACTTCAGTCAGCTTTTCTCCTGCAGATCATGGCTCTTTAGCCTGGTCAAGCACCCATCCTCCTCTCTCCTCCGACCCCGGCACTCCCTCTCTGTCCCAGGTTTCAGCTGCTGAACTGCTTCCTGTTTATATAGAAAATAAGCCGTCAGATGAAAGCAACTCCTCCTTCCAGCTGCCCACCTGCACCAGTGCCCACGTGCTGCACCTTCTCCCCAGTCCTGTGGTGACTGCCCCCGGAGCACTGGACTCCATCCCCTGTGCCACCTCCTTCCCTCTTCCCGATCAGACTGTTCCCCTGGCTTATCAACACACATTAAAACAAACGAGCAAACACACAGAAGCTGGTCCTCCTGGTCTCCTCACGGCTCTGCCCACCTCGACTCACCCACTCTGACCCCCATGTAAAATCACAGGCCACTGCACCTCCTGTCCACCTCACTTCGTATGCCCATGACTCTGCTCATTTTACACCCCCCTCCCCACCACAGCGCTTACCACTTTCCAACACTACCCCTACCCCAGTAGAGTGTGGGCTCCACAAGGTAGACTACCACCCGTTTTATTGCATCCTGGGCAAAGTATGTGCTCCAAAATATTTGCCAAGTGGGTGGACAGCTGCTAGCCACTGAGATGGTCTCAGACCTTTTATCATAGGATAATGCTTCACAGACACCTTCCTGCATGTGCCCTGTGATTAGGGATCACTTTGGGATTTGCATGCACCAAGTAAGCAGGTGCCAGTGTGAGCTGGCCTCCTCCCCACTCCCTGTGCTGCCGCTTCTGATCCACATCCAAACTCTAGCACCACTGTCACCTGAGCTGGAAACCTGACCATCCTGTCTTCCACATCCACCCAGGAGGTCATCAAGTCTTAATAGGCTCTTAATCTCTTTCACACCTTTCTTCTCTGTCTCCACAGCTGCCCCTTCCTCCTGGATCCCCTGTGCCTTTACGATTTTCAGGGCTGCCGAAGTCATTGTTCTAATATGCAGATCTGATGCGCCTTCTCCCAGTTTAAACTCTGTGCAGTTCCGCTATGAGCTCTTACAGGCTGCCATCCCACCTCCAATATCCGGGCCCATCCCCTTCCTCCCTCCAGTCCCACCCTTGCCTCCTGGAGATCCTCCCTGGACTCCAGCCACACCAAGTGATTCAGTCTTGGCAGGTCGTGGGCTGTGGCTCGCTCTTTGGAACTGGAGTTCACTCTGCCTGAATGCTCGTCCCCTGGTCATGCAGGCCAAGTCACCGCTGGCCTTCCAGGTGGGGCTTCCTCCTGCCTCTCAGGCACACAGGGCTCCCGGGCACTGGTAACCCCCTCACCCTACTGCTGCTGTGAATGTTGTCTGGCTCCCTAACGAGCTGTTCCTTTTTTAAAAAAATATATATTTTATTGATTTTTTTTACAGAGAGGACGAGAGAGGGATAGAGAGCTAGAAACATCGATGAGAGAGAATCATTGATCAGCTGCCTCTTGCACACCCCCTACTAGGGATGTGTCACAACCAAGGCACATGTCCTTGACTGGAATCGAACCTGGGACCTCTTAGTCCACAGGCTGATGCGCTATCCACGGAGCCAAACCGGTTTCGGCAGGCTGTTCCTTTTGTGTGTTCCCGGTCAGTCCAGCTTGCATGGTGGAACCTGGGATAGTGTGCCACACTCAGGTTGTTGGATGAATGGAGAGAGGGACCTGCTTTGGGTCAGTGGGCAGCCTCCGTCACCATGATGCTGGGAAATTCCCAGCCACACCATGTCGTTCACTAACGCGGCTCCCAGGATTGCCAAGCTGGGGCACTTCGGGGAGGAAGTCAGCTTTGGAAGAGAAGGAGCCAGAGGCTACATGTTTTGTGGAGTTTGATTAGCAAACATAGGCCTGGAAGAAGGGAAAATTAACTATGGAACTGAAGGGACAGCTGCCAACTCACATCTAGTCCAACGGGACATTGCTGAGCTGGCCGACGCTGCGCGCTGGCAGTTTGCAAGGCAGGGATGGACAGGGCCCCATGGGTGTCCGCAGCTGTCCAGGTGCTAGGAGGTCTGACTGGAGCCCACTTCTCCTCACTGGCTGATGGGGTTTGGCATGGGGTTGCACCAGTTTTTGCCAGCAGGGGCTTTCACTTTCAGCTGTCCTAATCCTATGGCTCACTTCTCAGCTGCTCTGAGGAGCCCAGGGCCATGCCACTCCAGGCCAGGACCTTACCTGACCCCTCAGCCAGGCTCCATTCTTGACCTGGCTCTCTCCTAATGCTAGCCCAGGCCCTTCCCTGGCCTGCCCCTCAGTCCTCCCGGCAGGATAGGCAGGGTGATGGGAATGAGCTCTGGAGCTATCCTGTGAGAAATAAATAAGACGATGTTGATCCTGAGAAGAATATACCTGCCCAAAAGGACTCCTCCTGGTTAATTAGGCTCAAGTTAATAACCAGAGCCTAGGGGCCATTGCTTACACAGGTCCCTCATGCACACCACGTTTCAGGGAAAACTTGCAGGCTTTCTGCCCATCTTCTAGCCCAGCTGAGCTGACTCTTGTGGGAGCGCCAAGGATCACAATTGGACCAATGGAACTGAGGTTTTCCCCGACCAATCGGCTGCACAACTCTATCCTCATTAGCATTTTTACTGAACCATTAGAGGAACTCCATTCCAACCAATCAGGACAGAGGTGTTTAGACTATTTGCATGAAAGTGGGCCAATCAGGGATCAGGGGTGGGCACTTCTTTCTATATAAGTCTGCCTTGAGGCGCTCACTTCCAGTTTACACCAAAGACATACTTGGTGGCTGGGATTGCCGCACCAGTGGAGCTGTGACATCCCGTTGAGTTGAATTGGCTACAGCAAGCGACCTTCAGTTGACATTGGTGTGTTAGGAGCAGTTGAAGATCAGGCAGGAGCTGCAGTTGTCCCTGACCTACGTCAAAATTCAGGCCACATGACAAAGGATGGGAGGTTCCGAGGAGCTGCAAACGTGAGGGGCCTCAGACTTGCAGAGCTTTCTTTTCTCTCTTTGTGTTAAGCCTCACACAGGATACCCCCCCCCCCCACACACACACACACATTGATTTTTAAAGAGACTGGAAGTGAGGGAGAGAGGGAAAGAAGGGAGGGGGGAGATGTGAGAGAGGCACATGGGTTGGTTGCCTCCTGCACAGACTAGGGCTGGGGATGGGACTGAGACCCATTCCCTTTGTGCGGGGGACAATCTAACCACTGAGCCACACCGGTCAGGCTGCAGATGGTTCTTTTTGAAGTGTTACAAACCCATTAAGCATTAGGTTTGACAACAAAAATGCTTCAGTGATGGAGCCTGACAGAGGGATCTCGGTCAAGTGTAGGTCACGTCCTCACTACTGAGCCTCAGTGTCTGGTCTGTAAATTAGGAATAAATACCTCCTGAGTTACTGTGACAGTTAGCCACGCCGAGGAACCGTGATTGGACAGTGCCTGACACCCAGGAGATGCCCAGGGTTTTTGTCCCTCTGGGGGAGTTATTGTCCCTCTGGGGGAGTTACTGGCAGCCATCTGATTTGTCAAGGAAACCCCAGCTGGGCGCAGCAGGCCGGGCTCAGACACGCTCCCTGCTTTTTCCCGTGGGAGTTGACGCTTCCACGGACCCTGGTTCCGTGCCGATGGGGAGCCAGAGCCGCTCAGAATGCGGAGCCCCAGGGGCGGCGACGTCCAGGGTGGCCCTCCTCCAGGCCCTCCGAGCCCCGTGGTGGGTGGTCTTGGGCCTTAGGATTCCCCGCGGGCAGAGTCTCCGCGTCCTTGGAGATGGGTGGCAGCCCTAACGCTGGGTCTGGGGTCCAAGGGCCACGACCCTGGTGCAGCGTCTGCGGGTGGGGGTGCGGGTCGGGGTGGGGGGCGTATGTGTGCGCGCGCGTTCTCCTCGAGACGGGAGATCTGGGAGCAGCGGATGCCAGGCGGGGAGACCGGGCAGAGAGGCGCCGAGGTCACCGCCAACAGGTGGCGGGCGGTGGCTCCTTTAAGACGCCGCGCCGCCCCGCCCCGCCCGCGCCGCCCTCCCGCCGGGAGCCGCGCCACGTGACCCGAGTCTTGTGACTGGCGGGAGGGGGGCGGAGGGGAAGCCCGCCCGCCGCCCGCCGCCCGCCGGGAGCGGGACTCGCCTCTACGCCGCCCGGGTGTTCCCACGAGTCCGCGCCGGAGCGGAGCGGAGCCGGAGCCGGAGCCGGAGCGGGAGCCGAGCCGGCGCGGTGGGCGCCGCCCGCCATGGACCACAAGCCCCTGCTGCAGGACCGGCCGCCCACCTACAACCTGGAGGCCGGCCAGGGCGACTTCGCGTGCGGCCCGCATGGCTACGGCGCCATCCCCACCGCGCCCCCGCCGCCGCCCTACCCCTACCTCGTCACAGGTGGGCCGCGGGCGGGGCGGTGTGGGGTCCGGGGCGGGGAGGGAGCTGGGGAACGGGCTTCGGGGGCGGGGCTGGGGGCGGGCCAAGCGGGCGGCGCCCCGGGAGCAAACTTGAGACCGAGTCCTCCGGCGACCTTTAACCCCCAAGCCAACTTTCCCCCGGCGCAGCCCGCCGGGCACCGCGCGCCTTCGGGAACGCGGGGCCCTAGTGACCGCGGCCCCCGAGGAGGGGCCGGGGAACCTCCCGCACCAGGAAGCTGCTGGCGGGCCCTGGCGTCTGGGCGCTGCCCGAGCGCCCTCAGCACACCTGGGGGGTGGGGTGGGGGGAGGAAGGTGCCCGCCTTTCTCAGGAAGCCTCACAACCCAGTTTCAAATTAACTTTATTAACGAGGCTCTGCCTGCCCTTAGCACCTCATAGAGCCCTTTGGAAGCACTTGGTGAGATTCTGAAAAGGAGAGTTTGGTGTCGAGGAGGAAGGGCAGGGGCAGCAGTTCCCCTGCCCCTTTCTGATGTGCCTTCCTGTCCACAGGGATACCTACCAGCCATCCCAGGGTCTACAACATCCACAGTCGAAATGTCACCCGGTACCCTGCCAATTCCATCGTTGTCGTTGGTGGCTGCCCAGTCTGCAGGTATGTCACAGGTCTGGGGCTGGCTGGCCCCCAGAAGCCTCTGGGAACACTCATACCCAGAATCTCACAAAGGCAGGGTCCTTGAGGTGGGTCAGTCTGGATTTGGGACAAGCTGCAGGGGGCAAGCACGGGTTCGGTGATCCTGGGTTGAACATGTTTCCTAGAGCAACTGGGGTGGGTTCTGTTTCTCGGACAGTTGAGTGGTCTGGACCAGTGAGCCCCGAGTGACTGGGATGCAGTTGGACTGACAGCCGCACATCCTGGTGCCTGAGGCGGTGGAAGGCTTCCTTTTCAGGGCACGGGCTATGTGAAATGTGCGGGCAGGGGAGCCCTGACTTAGGTGGCCCATGTGTTCTAGAAGGAGGAGGTCCTAGGAGCCTGGAGAGCTACAACTGTGAGCGCTGTTAGTGGAAACCCATGGTTCTCCCAGCGGGAGCGGTTTTTCTATCCTTGGACTGGAGCCTCCACAGACTTCTGATGCCTGTTGATCAGAAGGGCCTGAGCCGCTTGTTCTGCGTGTCCTGAGGATCCAGACCAGAGGAAGACTGGTCCCTGCCCTCGGTGGTTCAGTGCTGGGACGGCTTAGAGAGCACGGACTTGGCACGGACCTTTTTCCTGCCTGGGAGGAGGAAGTTCACATTTCTGAGATGGGATTGAGAAACCCTGGTTTACACTTAGATTTAATTTCAAAAGTGCGTCTAGAAGGCCCCAAGTGGAGTCAAAGGGAAGTTAATGATTTCAGAGTCACAGGGGGAGCTAGGGCTCGGGAAGAGGGAGGACATGGGGGGCGGGGGGGCAAAAGACTGGCCTACCAGAGCCAACCATGCGCTCAATAAAGGGCTGTGGCAGGGAGAGTCCCTGGAGCTGTGTGCCAGCGTACCCCATTTGCAAATCCAGAAAGGGTGTCTCTTCTGACATAGCTGGTGAAAGGCCTTTGGAGAATGTGAAGGGGGAGGGAGAGGAGGGCAGACAAGGGCCTCCTCCTGAGTGCCCCTCTCTCCATGCGGCACTAGGGGGCGTCAGAGCTGTGGGGTTTGAAGGTCTGTACATGGTGGATTGGGATTAGCCGCGGCATGGACTTGGGGGCTTGGTCCATGCTTCCGGACAGGGCAAGGCTCACAGCTTGGTCCCATGTGGAGAGAGCCACCCGGCCTCCTGGGAAGTTACAGGAAGAGGGAGTGCCGGGAAAGTACTGTATTAGCTGAGGCTGGCCCTGGGTGCTCAGCCTCGGTGTGTGCATAGCCCTTCGGTCCTCACTCGGCGTGGCTGGAGGGTTCTCAGGGCCTAGTTTTCGAACTGGGGTCTTCACATCATCTCCCATTTGAAGGAGGGGTGTTAGGCTGGCAAATTCAAGGAAGATCAGGAAGGCGCCTGAAGCAGAGGAATCTGGCTGGGATTTCAGTGTCTCCCTGCCATATCTGCCACTTCATAGGAGTGCCCAGCCTGCCATAGGAGCTGGGTTCAGACCCTGGCACTGGCAGCTACCAGCTGGGCCTATTTCCCCCAGCTGGGAAAGGGGGGTATCAGTGGGATAGATAGTCTGTGAGGCTCTTGTAGGCCCAAGTCCCTGAGTTCAGAGGAGTGGACCCCAGCACCAAGCCCCCTGTGGCTAGTGGAGGCGGGGAGCCAAGGCTGAGATGTCTCCAGGGCTGTGAAGCTTCCGGCCACTGGCTGGGCTGCTGCCAGGTGGGGGAGCATTTCCCGACACCCCTTTTCCCTACATCGGGAGCTGTGTCATCCTGGAGGCCAGTGGCTTCTGCTCCATGGCCCCCGGTCATTCAGAATCCGGACTAAGGTCGGGCTGTGTTCTCTGCTCTCGGAGTTTTCCGTGGGGCTGAGGGTAAGGGTGCCTGCATTTGGAACCAGGCTTCTTCCTTGGGATCACTCTCTTCTCGCCTCTGGGTGGTGGGTGGCAGGCAGTGAGGAGGAGTGGGTGCTCTGAGAACAGGTTTGGGGGATCGAGTTGGGACCAAACACTCTTGACTCCCCCGAGGCATGTCCTCCTGTGGGCCTTCTCGTCTGTGGTGTGAGAACAGACGCCAGCAATAACTTGGGTTTCTCACATGGGAGTGTCCCTGCCCTTCCTGCTGGGGGGGGTGGGGGGTGCTTAGCCCTCTGCCTCTGCAGTGGTGCATGGTGTGGGCGTGGCTGGCCAGTGGGCTGAGGCTGGGCAAGAGCTGGTCAGCACTAAGGAGGGAGAAGCCCGGGCACTTTCCCGGGGAGCGCCACTGTGGTTTGGGGGTGCGGGTGGTAGGGGCCCTGGTGCGGGCCCCTCCTGGGAGAGGAGAGGTTTCCCCTGGGCGCAGTCCGGGCAGCCGCTGTGTGTCTGGAGTCATGGGGTTGGGAGACAGGCCACTTCTCAGTGACTGCACTGCTGCCTCCCTTTCCATCCCGCCCGCCAAGCGCCGTCCCTGCCCTCCCGGGCGGCTTGGCAGGAATTCGCTAGTCACACGGCTGCGATTCCCTGAGTGAGGTCTGGTGTAAGAGGTCTGTCACTTGTCATTGTCATCGTCCGGCCTTCCCTTAAGCAGCCCGACTCCACCCTCCCGTTTTAGCCAACTGTGTGAGTATTTCTTTCGACTCCAGCACATGCTCTTCCTGTCAGCCCCGCCGTGGCCTCTGAACCAGTCCTCCTGTGGGGCCACAGCTGCCCCTGGATGCAGGACGAGGGGTAGCACTGTGGTCTGGGACCGGGCCTGGCTGAGTTCACCTCGGCTGTGGTGAGAAGGCCCTGAGCAGCAGGAGTCAAACCTGGAATGTGGTGCCAGTAGTAGGCACAAGCAGTAGGCGCAGGGCCTGCCCGGCACTGGGCCCCGCCGACCCTGGATAGGTATCGTTGGGTGTTTAGCTTTTAGGAGGAAATCCAGGAGCACGTGGGGTCATGGAAGCCAAGACAGAGGCTGAAGGAAGAGTCAGTCCAGGGTGCGGCATGGGTGGTCAGCATGGGCACTGCTGGTGACCCTGGGAGAGTGCTGGGAGGTAGAGGCAGGGCTGGAGCGCGTGACACGGCACAGGGTGACAAGGTGGTGTGGACGGCTCAGAGAGGCCGGGGCCTGTGACAGAACCTTGGGGAGCTGACTGCCTGGACATCCTGGGCTGGGGGCTGGGGATGGTGGAAGACTCCCTGGCCCCTGCTCTGGCCTACACTTTGCTCAGAGGCCTGGTCCTCAGGTTTGTTTCCAACTGCCCTGGAGGGGCCGGTATCTGCCCCAGAGAGGCAGGTGTGCCTCCCGCTGCTGAGGGTAGAGCTGGGACCTGGTCTCGGAAGGGAGCTGGCTGGGTGCTTTGGGCATCTGCCCCCTAACCCCCATCCCCCAGGCTCCAGGCCTTGGATGACCTGGAGGAAGTCCTCCCTGAGGCTGTCCTTCTGTGAGGGCTGGGCTGGAATTGCTCTCTTGGACCACTCTGTGCTGGGCAGTGAGTGGGTGGGGATGAAGAGTAAGGGTGCCGGAGCCGGGCACTAACTGCAGGGGCACAGGCATGGGGAGGCCCCGGATGGGTAGAGCTGGTTTGGTGCCAGGGCTCCGAGTGTCCGAGGCCCAAAGGCCACCTCTCTGCTCTGGAAGTGGCTGGATCAGCATCAGTAGTTGTAGCAGCTGTTGCCATGACTGTGGGCAGAGCAGGTGTGCTCCCAGCCTGTCACATCCACCTCGTGCAGGGAAGCAGCTGGTGGCCAGGGCTTGCTGAGCCCCCATCCCCTCCTTTGGCAGCAGGGCCTCAGTGCCTTTTCAGCTGGATCTGAGGCCGCCTGTCCGGACATGTGGTCTGAGGGCCCTGAACAGCCCGGAGGGCGGAGGACCTGACCTTTGTAGTACTTAGAATACAGGAAGTGGTACCTGCCACACACTCAGACCTGCCGATCGCTGTCCCTCACACCTGGCCTTGCCCATGCTCTAGTCCAGCTGGTCACACACACACACACACACACGAAGGGCGGCACCCATGAGCCTGGGAAATGGGGTGAGACAAAGGGCATCTTTCCTACAGGAGCTCGGGTCCTTTTCTAAACGAATGCACGTGGAGACTCCAATGCAGTTTGACCGAACACCCCCTCCCTGTCTTTTCTGCAGAGCTCACGGGGAACTAGTGTTTCAGGATGAGCACGTTTGGGAAAGACTTCCAGAATGTGTTGTCCCTTGTAGATGTTTTAGGCACTTCCCTCCTGAGTGGGTGGACATGGTGACTTTCCTAAAGCTGTTGAAAACCAGACTTCCTCTTAGCCTGGTGTATTTTTCATGATCCCCAGGGGAGAGGGAGCCTGCTCAGCTTGGCTGGGCTCGGCTGGGCTGGGGGGGGTGCTGCACCGGCCCTCCTGCAGCTGCTGGTTAGCAGCCGTCACATAGGCTCGTGACTTCCTGAGAAGGGGCTGCAGCAGTAGCAGCTCTGGCATTTTGAGGAGGAAGCCCTCGTTTATTCTTTTATTAAGCGGAACCTTCCTTCTCCTCCATGCAAAAAGGGGTAAAATAAGGAGAACATTGTGGGCATTGGGATCCTTAGCAGTATTTGCTGGCGAAGGGGGCTGAGAAGTGGAGAAGCGGTGGCTTCAGAAAGACCAAGGAAGCTGGGCGGACATGCAGGGGTGTGGGAGAATGGGTGCAAAGGAATTAAAGCAGCGGGAAGGAATGCCAGGCCCTCCCCACCCGCAGGTGCCCTCAGCTCACAGCGAGGTGGTCAGGGCTGCAGGTGCCCCGGCCCCCAGGGAGCAGCTGGGCCCTGTTGGCTTTCCTTGGCTCCCAGGTCTGTCTGGTGGGAGTGGAACATCTCATTTGGGCTGAGCCGGCTCTTGTGTTCTCATTTTAATTTCAGCTGTGTCCAGAACTTTCCAGTAGCAGCCTAAGGACTAAAGGTGGAGCTCTTGCTCCTCACCTTGGGGGCCTTCAGTCTGGGTGGTGAGTCCAGGTCCCTGACCTATACTCACTGGCACCTGCTCGGTGATGGCCCCAGGTCTTAGGTAGTATAGATTGTGCACTAAAAGGTAAACGTGTCTTTTTCCCCCTGAAGTTTGAGATGAAATTTCCCAAGTGGCCTTTAGACACTGTGTGAACACGGCCCATTTGTCTTTCATTAGAAATCTGCTGCCCGTCCTCCCCCCGAAAATAGAAAAATCAAACAAAATTCTGAACTCTATTCCTGTTTGTAATATTGCCCTCTAGGGATAAAAAACTTTTCAATTCTGGGAAAAAAAATACTCAAATGATCGCTTTCTTGGTCTTGTATTTTCAGAGATGTAAAAAATTTCACAAACTAGCATTTGTTCCTGGTTCTTCTGTAAAAGGAACTATGGTAGATGACATGGCCCCCGAACGTGCCTTTATAAGTAAGCAAGGATAGCTTTCGAGCAGTTTCCCCTTTCTTCACGGTCTGGGCATGGTGACAGCAGCAGTTTGCCTTCCCTCCAAACACGGCAGACTGTTGGCGGATCTCCAGGTGGTATGGCTGGTTGCTCTGACGCGCCAAAGGTCTGGTGGGACATCAGGCTGAGGGCCCTAACCTAAGCCCCCCTCTCTCTCTCCACAGAGTCGGGGTTCTGGAGGACTCCTTCACCTTCCTGGGCATCTTAATGGCCATCATCTTTTTCCCCATTGGGTTCATCTGCTGTTTTGCCTTGAGGAAGCGAAGATGTCCCAACTGTGGAGCAAACTTTTCCTAAAGGGAACCGCACATCTGGCTCCCCTTCCTCCAGCTGTCTTTTTCTAACGGAAATGTGTACAGTAGCTTTATTTGATTAAGCTTCGGGGCTGTTTTGTAAGGGAGGTGGGATAGATTTGGCATGTGTGAGCTGGGTTCAGGGTACAGGTCACGGAGTGTGGACACGTGACAACACTGCTCCCAGGGTTAATGACAACTCAGAAAAGCACTTTTATTTTTTGCAGTCTTCAATTTGAGAAAGATGAGAAATTGTTTTAAATAAATGAGATTCATACCATTGTTTACCTGGATCTGCTTATTCAGTGTTTGCACACTGCCACTTGCAGAAATTAACTTCTGTTTGGAAAATTTCAAACGTGAAAAAGAAACTAGAATTACGTACCCACCACCCAGCTTCAACACTGTTCAATTCTGTTATTTTTCTTGATAGGCATTTACAGCTCAAGAAAACGTTCTTGTTTTCACGTTCTTTTATTTTATAATAAAACATAATACCTTGACATTTTCAGAACATGCCCCTCAGTGCCAAGGACAAGGCAAGCCCTCCCTTCCTGTGTGAGGCAGGTAAGTGACATGTCGTCCACTCTATGAAGGTGGAGACGGCCGGGTGAGCCCAGTGGCCTGCGAATCACACCTGCTAACCCCAGGCCCACGTGTCGCTAAAACAAAGCCAGAGGACCCTCACCCCTCCTCACCTCTAAAACCATGGTTGAAAAATAAGGGGCTTCTGTGAAACCCCCTCTTAAGTGGTGGGAGAGTGGCCACTTCGCCGACTTGTTTCTTGGCGGGTGCGTCTTCTTGCAGGACAGGTGCTGCTTGACACCTGCACTCTGTCCGACTCAGTCCTGGGGAGCCCTCACGTTCCCGTGTCATTAGCTCCCCACTGGCTGACACAGGAGGAGGAGGCTAGGACCTTGAACCTGGAGTGTCATGCACTCACACTGCTTTTACCTGCAGTTGACTTTGGCCAACTTCAAGCTTACAGAAAAACGGCGTTAATGGTAAGACCAAAGGAGCTGCATGAACCAAAAGCCCCCCTTCCCTGCCCACACAGTGAATGGCCTGGGTGTGACATTTAACCACGATGCTCCCCTCCGCCAACATAGGGCCTAATCCCTGACAGTCAGCGGTGAATCCCTCCTGGAGCCGCCCAGGTGCCTAGCGCACGACAGTGGGTCTCGGCTAGAGCGCAGCTCCTACAGCCACCACTCCCAGAGGTCCTGGCTCCGTGAGCACTGTCTGTGCATCAGGAGCTGATGGGAAAGTGTCAGAGGAAATGAGGGACAGATGGGCTTTGGTCAGCTAGCTTATTAGCAAGTCCCCTGGTGGCGCATGTAGTGCCCCCTGACCAAGCCCACATGCAGCCTGGCCTGGTGGGTTTTCATTGGTGCCTCAGAGCTACCAAACCCAGAAGTTCTGGGGCATTCAAGTACTAAGTACCATGGCTGTGATGGGGACAGGCAAAACGCCCCAGCATTTTGCAGCTGGGCCTAATCACGGGAAGGTTGGGGTTTCTCCATCTTGGGTAGCTCTGCATTTGACTAAACTAAAAGTTTAAGTTAAAAGTTGAAATTTACATAATATTTTTATAATTTATATTGCTTAACATTTTCCTTTGGATAAACATTACATGCTACTTAAGAGCAGGTACTTTATAAAATGCAAATGTGGTCTCAGCTACATGCAGGTACAGAAAGCCAGTCCTGAAAGCACAGACTATCCCTTATTCTGGCTATTTCAAAAATAATCAGAATATTTAAAAAAATGATTCAGTAAAGATTAGAACCAAATTTACTGCTCTTTGAACAAAATAGGAAGAAAATACTTTAAATGATTGAGTTGGTCACTCAATTTATCTTCTTAAAGACAGAAATGTGCAAAACCAACTATGTGAAATTAAGAAAATGCATTGATTTGCTAAAGTAGAATACGTTTAAAATCAGGCACCCTCCGGTGAAGCGTCATGACAGTTACAGCTGCACCACACCTATGACTTCACACGTGAGAACATATGAAGATCCAGGAGAAGTCTTTGGCCATCTTTTCATCGAATGATTGGTGCTGACCGATCGTTTGTCACTGTTGGTCGGAGTTTCACAGTAGCAAAAGGGTTTTCTCCACTGTGGGGGAAGGAAAAACAAAGTCTGCAGAAATACCTTAAGATGGGAATTTTATTTTTTTAATTAATGCTCACCTGATGATCTCCCCCTGCCCCCACCTTGATGTGGAATGGAGAGAGAAATGTTGAAGTGAGAGAGAGACATTGATTAGTTGCCTCTGCCAGGATTGAGCCTGCAACCCAGGTACGTGCCCTTAACCAGAAATAGAACCCGAGACCCTTCGGTGCATCGACCGATGCTGTAAGCACTCGGCAACCTCTGCAGTCCTCTGTGGCAGGAGCAGGTGGACAGCCATCTGAGACTGGGCCTGGATCACTGTGTTGCCAAGCACAGCCTGTGACCAGGAGCCCCCCTTCTGGGTCGGGCAGATGCCTCCTGGACTGTGAGGAGAGCAAGGTGGCTGCATTCTCTTGACCCCCCACATCTGAGGCTGCTTTCAGGATCGGGCCTCCTGGGCTGTGCTCGGGGCAAGGCCCTCCCAGGGACACTGCAGGCCACTCGCCAACGGGGCAGTGCAGCTCAGAAGGGCTTAGGGGAGAGTTCACGTACCTGAGGAAAGGATGCTTTGCAGTCCCGTTTGTATTACTCTGTGGAAAGATGAAGAAGTTTATGGAAGGCTCATGAAATTAAGACTTTTAAACCAGACCTGAAGGTAAAGGCATCTAAAACACAAGGGACTGTTGAAAGCTATGAATATTTAAAGGTGAAGTCTCCGTTCAGTAGAAACTGACTAGCTATTCAGTAAATACACTTAAAAGGTTAACAGGAAGAACAGACATTTTAAAAGACGGTGAGGGACCTGCACCGTGTTTAAAAGACGGTGAGGGACCTGCACCGTGTTGGCCACCTCACACTCAGAACAGGCCTGTGGCTCCTTGCCCACAGCCTGTTTCCAGTGTAAAACTTGTGAGTACTGGTGGCTTTTTGGGAGCTCAGACCTGAAGGAAGCCATGAAAAGACTGAAAATGAAACGTCGGTGGGTTTTGGTGCCCAGTGCTCCCGAGAGATCTTGCAGGAAGTTGCACAAAGGGAAGAGAAGGACGTGTAAACACTGTCTCGGTCTTCAGGAACCACCAGAGCCTGCAGGTGCTTTGGGGTCTCCCAGTGTGGCCAGGGGCCTCCTTTCCTTCATTCCATAAAGCTTACAGGCCAAGAATCGGCTTTGAACCTGCTCTGGCTGGTCTAGGAAAGCACTGCTGTGAGGTTCCTCAGTGCTGCCCAGGAGAGGGCAGTATGCCACTGTCTGACCAAGGGGCTGCCAGACCAGAGCTGACCGGAAGCTCCCAGGACTCTCCGTGGTCAGGGCACTGACCTCTGAACACTGCCTACAGCTCCTCGCACTTCCCGCTGCCAGCCAGTTGGGGTTTGAAGGCCATGCCTCGCCGAAGACCACACCACGGCTCCTTGGGAGGCCTCCCCTGGGTTTTGGTCCTACTGACACTCAAGGCAGAGAGTTAGGGACACGAGTTCAGACCAGTGCCTGCTGTCTCTGGGCCTCTGAGGACCCACATCTTGACCTTGAACCTCGGGACCAGCCAGCGCATCCTGATGGCGGCCCCAGCACCAGGAGGCAGAGTCCTGGCTCTCTTCTCACTGAAGCACATCCCAGCAGGGCTTCAAATGGACTCTGCCCACAGGGCACGCAGGCCCAGAGCCGCCCTCCTGGTGCAGTGCTCACATTCTGAGATTTAGGGATAAAACTACACCAGGACACGTGTCACGCAAGTGCTCAAACATATTGCCAAACAGAAAGCAAGCCTAGAACGGAGGGATAGGGTCCCACGGGGAAAGGCCCCTGGGGTCAGGAGGAAGGGCAGTCGAGTCCTCTTGGCCTGGGAAGTGCACTTCCTGCCAAACCAGAGTCCCCAGGCTCAGCCTCCACGTGACACACTGGAAACCACATGCTCCCACCTTTCCTCAGGGTGGGACGGTGTCGCTCTCAGTGTGTATCACGTCTGAGGAGGGTGCTGCTCGGAACCGGAAACACCCCATGGGGAGTAGCCCAACTGTCCCCAAGGCACACCCTCCGGGCTTGTTCCCAGAGGGCCTCACCCCCAGGGAGCTTCAGAACAAGTTCAGCCACCTTGTCACCTGGAGGCTCAGCCACAACACTGGAGAGAAACGAAGGTGGAAGAGAAATGGCACAGTCCGTCCTGGGAAGAAAAGCGACAACAGTGCTAAGGAGGGCACAATGACCTAAGGCAGTGGTCGGCAAACGGCGGTTTGCAAGCCACATGCGGCTTTTTGGCCCCTTGAGCTTTTAGCAAAGGCCAGCTTAGGAGCGCCCTAATTAAGTTAATAACAATCTACCTACCTATATAGTTGAAGTTTAAAAAATTTGGCTCTCCAAGGAAATTTCATTCGTTGTACTGTTGATATTTGGCTCTTGACTAATGAGTTTGCCAACCACTGATCTAAGAGGGTATCCTGAAACCATCCAGTGCCGGGTCATGTCTGGTTCTGGATCTGGTGCTGCCTACACCTGCTGCTTTGTGAGAAGTCACTGTGCACTTTTCTTCCTATGGCATTCCTCAGTGTCTGCCACAAAAAGGACAGTTCCAAATGTTTCCCCTTTAACATCTACCAAGTCTACCCTGTCCCCAAACGTGCCCCTCCTCCCTTCCCCCTGCAGTGGGAAGGCACAGCCAGGCCGGCCATGGCGCTGCCCTCATTCCTCCAGTGAGGAGAGCTCACGCTAGGTCCCGAGTGTCTGCAGAACCTCCTCCCCACCTCACACCTGAGCACAGCCCCATCCCTCTTACTGGCTGATGCTGGAGCCCTGAGCTCCTTCCGAGTGTGTCCCTCCACTGGCTCCCTGAGGCCGAGCAGTGGGGTTTGGGGTCTCCTGGCCTTTGCCCACTCCCCCCCCCCCCCCCCCCCCCCCGTCACCCGGCAAACGCTGCCTTGCCCTGCAGGAACACTGAGGTCTCTGCAGGCCTCTCCTGGTGCCCTGTGCCCCTAGATCTGACCGGTCCTGCATGGCTCCTGCAAGCCTGTCCCCTCAGGACACGCAGAGTGCGGACACATGGTGTGAGCTCAGACCAGGTCTGTGGACCTAAACCATTCAAGCTCCTGCATCAACGGGCAGCAGAGCCGCTCCTGTGCAGGGCATGTCCTCTGAGGCAGTGGTGCGCGTCCGATCATGCTTTCTCTCGGACTTCCAAAGCAAGGCCTGAGCTCTGACCAGTCCCCCTGGCCTTGTAGGCGCAGCCTGTTGGGTGTCTGTGCCCCCTCTTGGCAGCCAGGATGATGCCGGTCCAGAGTGCACTTGACAGGAGATTACTGAGGCACGAAACCAGATGCCGACAGGTCAGACACGTCCTGAGGGGAGGGGCTGTCCAGGGGACACAAGGACAGGGAAGCCTTGTGACTGCACAGCAAGACAACCCATACCATCTGACCACGGCCAAGCAGGAATCTGCAAAGTGGGGCACATTGTGATTTACCCACAAAAACACCCAAACCCAAGCCCACCTTGAGCGGGCTCTTGGTGACTCACATGACATCCAATCCACCCAGATTTCTGCTGGAATGTCCCTCACAGGCCCATCTGCCTTGAAGGGGACCAGATGGCCCCAGCTTACAAGTGATCCTGGTCACCTCAGGCCACCAGCACAGCCCGTTTCCCAGATGGGAGGCAGACACACGGGCAAGGAATCTGTGTGGCCCCCGGGCAGGGCGAGGCAGCCCCTCACCGCAGAAGGCAGGGCTGGTGGTGAGACACAGCCCTGAGGGCAGCATGGTGCCCGCCCTCTGTCCTGCTGCTCCCTGGGCACAGCCTCCTCCATCTGAGGCCACGGGAGGTGAGCTCGGTCACCTGCACACGAGCACCCCTGACCCTGGTGTTAAATGTCACAGCGGATGCCAGTGCTCAGCTGTGGCCGGACTTCCCTCCCAGTTCACAACCTCCAATCTAGTTCAACCCTCTAGTCTTAAACTGGGGACACGGAAGGCTGGCCAGGGGGAAAGACAGCTGCCTGGGGTCACAGGCTCTTTCTGAAACCAGGGCCCGCTTCCTGGAGTGGAGGGCAGATGCTGGGCCGGCAAACGTGCGCTTTAAAACGAAGGCAGGTCAAGGTGTTCCACAGCCTTTTAAAGCCTAATTATCTGATTATTTAAAACGGCTGCCACTACAGCCCCACCCCTGCCCCCAGATCACAGGGCAGCCTGGCAGCTGTCCAGGTTACGGTGCAGGAACGTCCCGCCCACGGTACTGGTGCGCAGGGGACTTGGCCTAAATGTCCTGGTGTTACAACCACAAGGACTGACAGCAACTGACGGCTGCCTTATAGAAACTGCGAAGAACCATGTTTTGCTGCTCCCATGGACCCCAGCCTTGGCTGACAGAACATACTCCCCCCCATCATCATCGGCTGGTAAGCATTCTGGGTCAGGAAAGAAACTACCAGTCCAGCTGGGTAAGAAGATTTTGATACAAAATCCAGGACCATGTCCCCCGTCCTCAAGAGTCTGGGCAGGGGTCAGCCGTGGCATGTGCTTTTTGAGCACCGTGCTCTTAGGATTTTAACTGGAACACCGTCTGTGCTGTGCGATCCATACCTGACGGCTCAGCATGGTGGCCACTAGTCACATGTGACCAGATGAAAAGTAAACAGATTTAAAATGGAAAACCCCATTCCTTAGCTACACCATCCACTTTCCGGGTACTCGGCTGCCCCGGGCCCCATGGCCACTATTCTGGGCAGTGCAGTTCTGGAATGTTCGTCTGCTCCGAAATTCCCCACTTTCATGTACGGAAGAAGCACCTGTCTTTTCTGCTCGGACACACGGGAGACTGGGGCCTGTGCCTCCTGCTGTTGCTAAGAGGCTGTGAGGCCAGGTGCTCCCGCCTCTCCTGAGGTCACGTGGGAGCAGAACCGGTTCTCGGCCGCCCCAGCTGAGTTCCTGGAACTGCCACCGCCTGTGGAGGCTGTCTAACTGGCTGAAGGGTGTCAGCAGAGGCAGTGGGCGGGTGTGCTGGAGACAGAGTTTCGTTTTTATTCTTCTGCAGTTTGCAAGGATCCTGAAGTATCACTTCAGAGATGCTATGACAGAAACATGAGCCAGTCCCTGAACTTCACTGTGCACCTGTGACACGCCCTCTGCTTGCTCTCCATTCCGAGGTCAGAGGCACTGGGTCTGACATTGGGAACAGTGACCGTCCTGGAGTCACTGCCAGCAGTGCCTCAAGCCCTACGGCCTTGGCTGACTTTCTCTAAAGCCGACTCCTCTTTTCTTGTGACCACTATGAAATGGAGTTTCCGATAACCCCCAGATCAGAAAAATAATACAGCAGCTTGTCAGCGCCTCACAAACAGTACAACAGAACTTGTCTCACCGACGGTGTTCTGATGGGAGACACTGGTTAGAACTGCGTTTCCCAATCTGCTCTGGGACCTCAGAAAGCTGCTGTCGCTTTTCTGGGCCTTAACAAGGCCCCACAGTACCTCCTGGGATGTTAGAAAGGGGACCCACGCCCAGGAGGCATTGAGGGTGGAGGGGGTGGAGGCACTATCCACAGGCTGGCACCAGGGCAGTGCTGGGATCTCACCGTGTGTGGGTGCTGGGGAGGGAGAAACATCATCTC